AAGATGTCCTTCAGTAGGTAAACGGATAAACTGTAGAACATCCAGACAATGGAGTATGATTCAGTTCTAAGGAGAAATTAGATAGCAAACCACGAAAAGGCATGGAGAGGCCAGCCGTGGTGGCTCCTGCCTGTAATCCCAGCACTTTGTGGGGCTCAGGTGGGTGGATCACCTGAGATCAGGAGTTCGAGACCAGCTTGGCCAAGATGGTGAAACCCCATCTCTACTAAAAATATAAAAAATTAGCTGGTATGGTGGTGCCCAGCTGAGGGACGAGAATCTCTTGAATACAGGATGAGGAGGTTCCAATGAGCCAAGACTGTGCCACTGCACTCCAGCCTGGGTCACAAAGTGATATTCTGTCACAAAGTGATATTCTGTCTCAAAAAAAAAGAGAGACAGACAGAGTGGGGGGGAGGGAGAGGGAGAGGGAAAGGGAAGGAGAGAGAGAGTGAAAAGGGGAAAAAAGAAAAGAAAAAAGACATGGAGAAACTTTAAACACACATTACTACGTGAAAGAAGCCGGTTTCTGAAAATGCTACATACAGTAGGATTACAACTATAGGACATTCTGGAAAAAGCAAAACTATGGAAACAATAAAAAGATCAGTGGTTACCAAGAGTTGGGAGCAAAAGGGATGAACAGGTGGAGCACAGGAATTTTTAAAAATGAAGTAGAGACAGGAGTCTCACTATGTTGCTCAGGCTGATCTCAAACACGTGAGCTCAAACGATCTTCCTGCCTTGGCCTCCCAAAGTCTGAGATTGCAGGCAAAAGCCACTGTGCCAAGCACAGGATTTTTAGGGCAGCGAAACTACCCTGTACTGTAATAGTGTATACCTATGATTATGCATTTGAGCCCACAGAATGTACAACAAGCGTGAGCCCTAATGTGAACTGTGGACTCTGGGTGATAAGGACGTGCCAGTTAGGTTCATTGATAGGTTCACTGATTGTAACAAATGCACCACTCTGGTGGGGATGCTGATAGTGGCAGGGCTGTGCATGTGTGCGGGAGGGGGTACAGGGAAAATCTCAATACTTAGTTTTACTGTGAACCTAAAACTGCTTCTACTTTTTAGTAAGTCTTTTAAATAAATAAATATATATATATATATATATATATATATATATATAATTTTTCTGGCCAGGCACCGTGGCTCACACCTGTGATCCCAGCACTTTAGGAGGCTAAGGCAGGCAGATCACGAGGTCAGGAGTTCCAGACCAGCCTGGCCAACATGGTGAAACCCTCCCTCTACTAAAAATACAAAAATTAGCCAGCCATGGTGATGCATGCCTGTAATCCCAGCTACTCAGGAGGCTGAGGCAGGAGAATCATTTGAACTCGGGAGGTAGAGGTTGCAGTGAGCCTAGATTGTGCCACTGCACTCTAGCCTGGGTGTCTGATGGAGACTCTGTCTCAAAAAAAAAATTATTATTTTTCTACAAATATCATAGACTTTTTTCTCCAATCCGGTGGACTTAGTGTCTCATCAAGTGGGTGTGAGAAGGATACGCAGCAGCCACAGCCTGGCTCTGGGTGAAGTGACTCAAATTGCTCAACTAGTCCCAGCAAACCCTCTGCTAAGTCCATTTCCCTCTGCCCCGACCCTGTCACTCCATCTCCTGTGGGCGTTTCCTTTTCTCAAGGACACCCCTGAGACCAGGTTCCTAAAGCTGCCTACTGGCACTTCATGTTGAGAATCACACCTGCCTATGGCTTTCAGAGGATCCCGCACTCCCTGTCAGCCTCCTCCCCCAGTAACAAGACATAGAGTATTTGTGTTTTTTAAAAAAAGTATTATTGGCTGGGCTCACGCCTATAATCCCTCCCAGCACTTTAAGAGGCTGAGGCAGGCGGATCACTTGAGATCAAGGGTTCAAGACCAGCCTGGCCAACATGGCAAAACCCGTCTCTACTAAAAATACAAAAATTAGTTGGGCGTGGTGGCAGGCACCTGTAATCCCAGCTACTCCAGAGCCAGAAGAATCACTTGAACCCGGGTGGCGGGGGTTGCTGTGAGCCAAGATCGCACCACTGTACTCCAGCTTGGACAATAGAATAAACTCTGTCTTAAAACAAAAAATAAAACTATTATGACTTCACAGTATTTGTGCTTGTTAAAACTCAGATATGCTGTAGTCGAGTTCACAGTATTGTACCAACATCAGTGTCCCGGTTCTGATATTTTACTGCAGCCACAGAAGATGTCACCATTGGAAGACGCTGGGTGAAAGGTTCGTGGAACTGCTTGTACTATTTTGCAACTTCTTGAGAGTCTAACATTATTTCAAAATAAAAAGTTTAGGGTCAAGCACGGTGGCTCACGCATGTAATCCCAGCACTTTGGGAGGCCGAGGAGGGCAGATCACCTGAGGTCAGGAGTTTGAGACCAGCCTGGCCAACATGGTGAAAACCTGTCTCTATTAAAAGAACAAAAATTAGCCGAGCATGATGGCAGGCACCTGTAATCCCAGGAACTCAGGAGGCTGAGGCAGAAGAATCAATTGAACCCGGGAAGTGGAGGTTGCAGTGAGCTGAGATCGTGCCACTACACTCCAGCCTAGGCGACAAAAGTGAGACTCTGTCTCAAAAAATAATAAAATAAAATTTAAAATTTAAAAGCCAGTGATAGCTCAGTTTGCTCAAATTCTGGAGAAACAATGCATAGTTGTGTAGATTCAGGCATGGAGGGAGGAAGGGCTTGGTAGAAAGGTGGTCAAGAACTCTGCAAGGATTTGCCTGTGCTGGCAACAGCCTCACTTGTTGCAAATGACATTCACATATACAAAGGGAATTTGCCCAAATCTTGCACCTGTGGAAAAACCAAATCATGCTCAAGCTGTCTTTTAACTTGGGGTAGGGGTGATTCTATTTCTCGGCTTTGCAGAGATTTTTGGAGGAATATTAGTAGTTTTATGTCTTTGTCACCAACTTGCATGCTTACGGCAAAAAAAGAGTCACACGGAGTGCAGTCAGTGTTCTCAGAGGTGCGTGCTGAGCCTGAGATGAAAGGGACTCAAAGACAGGTACCTACTCAAGAAATGCATGGTCCTGGCACATGAGCCAGCCTGTCCATCTCATGGTGCCCAGAGGTTATTGATTAGGTACTCACAAGCAGTAGCTGTTCTCAAACACTGCACAGAGGAGGCTGCAGAAGGAATCTCAATTATCCTGGGTTCTGACAGAGAATGAAGGAGGTGGTGGTCCAATAGTTGTCATCATGGTGTTATGCTAAGCCTCGTGCTGGCTATTACAAAAAAATGGCTGCCATTCCCAAGAGCTTGCCACTTAAGACCAAAGGGAATAACATCCACGCGTTAGAATGCAAGTAGGGACCTGAAAGAGCAGCGTGAGCCTGAGTAAGAGCACACTGCACGCAGGCTAAGGGTGAGTCCATGTTGGGATGTTAAGTTTGCATGTAACTGGGAACAGATCAACTGGGAATTTCATGTTGAAATTTCATTGTTCTTTACTTTTGTTCTACCGAGTCCAAGGACACATGGAACCAAAAGCAAAGATCTCTAATTTCTTTTTACATACAATATATATTCACTGACAGCTGCTGTACCAAGGGCTGAAAGTCAAGCAAGGGATGGTCCTTGTCAGAATTTTTTTTTTTTTTTTTTTTGNAAAAAAAAAAAAAAAAAAAAGGCGAGCTCACAAGGCAGCACGCTGCCTGCACTGTCTCACGGCCTTGGCGCTCAATCTCTCCCGCCCTCTCCCCCAAATAGTGTTTATCCTTATGAAAGCAAAAGAGGAAGGCAAGCCAGAAAGCTTGATTTTGGAAAATTCCTCTCAGAGGCTTGAAAACAAGGGGCGGGACAGAGTAGAAAAAGACCAGGCTGTTGGCACCTGCAACTGCACCCAGTAAATAGTGAGGGCTCTCACCTCCCCAGAGATCACCATCTGCCGTGAGAACGAGTGGATGTAAAATGGACCGAGAAACTCCCGTGTCAGGCTACCTTGGCTCTGCCAGAGTAGCCAGGACAGTAGCCCGAATTCTCCCCTCTCGGCCTCACCGTACACAACAGCCTCTAACTCCCACCTACCTTCTTCTCCAAGAGAATTCTGTGGGGAGGCCCCCTAAATACTCTCTGCTGGCAGTTGTAATCCACCGGAAGCAAACCACGTTTATCTGCGTTCTCTTACCAGTTTGGTTGGTGACTCAGTCTCCCTGGGTGCACCGCCAAAACCAAATTCTAAAGGAAAGTCTGAGTCCTGGGTGGCAGTGGCCCATGCAGACATGGCCAGCCACCCGGGAGGTGTGCTGGGGTTGCGGGGGCCCCTGGACACCTGGACCTTACTTGTTTTCATGCTAAGCCCTGGAAATTTGACCTAGAACATAAGTAGCTTTGTTTCTTGCCAGACAACTTCTCAGTGACTGTACTGGGTAGACCCAGATACAACAAGACAAAGAAAACTCTAGACATGTATGAGGCCCAGATAAAACGATGGAAGAGCCCTGGGCAAAGCCCCTCTGGGGTTAGGGAAACACGGCCACTACTAATTCCTAAACCACCCACCCCATGTCTCCTGTCTAAGGGTCTTCTATGACCCTGACAACACCTTCTCCCAAATCGTAAATGGAAAAGAACAGGAGGCGGGGAACAGTGGCTCATGCCTGTAATCCTAGCACTTTGGGAGGCCAAGGCAGGCAGATCACTTGAGCTCAGGAGTTCAAGACCAGCTTGGCCAACACGGTGAAACCCCGTCTCTACTAAAAATATAAAAATTAACCAGGCGTGGTGGCAGGTGCCTGTAATCCCAGCACTTGGGAGGCCAAGGCAGGCTGATCACCAGAGGTCAGGAGTTCGAGACCAGCCTGGCCATCAAGATGAAACCCCGTCTCTACTAAAAATACAAAAGTTCGCCGGGCATGGTGGCGCACACCTGTAATCCCAGCTACTCAGGAGGCTGAGGCAGGAGAATCGCTTGAACCCGAGAGGCAAAGGTAGCAGAGAGCCGAGATCATGCCATTGTGTTCTGGCCTGGGTGAAAGAGCAAGACTCCTTCTCAAAATATAATAATAAAATCAATCAATCAATCAATCAATCATGTTCCAACTACAATGTTCAATCTCCTTTTCAATGACAATGCTAACAAGATTTGGGGTCCAAGTGTTTTAGGTGATGGTCACAGAGTTATCTAGTATTCATTTATAATATGCAAATAAGAATCATCTTAAGAAACTATCGCGCGCGCCGTGCGGTCTCCACGGCTACGCGGCATGCCCAGCGCGGATCCCCGAGCCCCGCGCAAGCAGCTAGCCGGGCTGATTCTCGGTGTCTGCCCTTCGGATGGTCGGCTGGAGAGGGCCGCCAGCGGGAATTCTGTAGACAAGAGAGATACTGTAAAGACAACAAAGAACAAACAGAATGGCAGATTGCTAATGTTTAATCCAAAGGAAAAAGTGATGATTGAATCAAATGAAGCAATGTCAGATAAATGCCTTTTTGGACGCAGACCAAGATTGGGAACCAAACTTAATGCCTCACCAACGCAGGTCTCTCCAGATATAGCTAAGACGTTCACAGAAAAGAAGGAAGTCCCTTCTAATAATATTGAAAATAAAGTCTCTTTAAAGAATACTGAAAATAGAGTATCTTCAAGGAGTATTGAAAGTAAAGATGTCTTAACAAATCTACAGTCTGACCTACAGTCATCTTCCTGCTTAAAAGAAAGCACAGGTGAAGTGGGCAAAGATGCAGTCATTGTAAAGCAGGAGAAAAATAATGAATATTCCCTTCAGGATATTGATGATAAGTTGTCAGAATCAGCAGAGGATGATGGTGAAGACGATACCAGTGATGAAGATAATGATGAAGACAGTAACCCTAAAAAGAATACTCAGGCCCCACTAGAGTTAATGGCAGAAGTAAGTTTTATTTGTGCATATAATTTAAGAAACTTAAAAATACTGAAATAATTAAAGATCAAAGATTTAAAATCACTACTGTGAGAGCTAAAAAAGTGGCTCTCCTGGAGGCAGAACACAGGATGGTGGTTACCAGAGGGTGGACAGGAAGAAGCTGGAGATAGAAGTCAGCTAAGGGGTACAAAAGTACAGTTAGATGGAAGGAATAAATTATAGTATTCAGTAGTATAGTAGGGAAATTATAGTTAACAGTAGTTTATTGTATGCTTTAGAATAACCAGAAGAGAAAATTTGTAATATTTCCAACACAAAGAACAGATAAATGTTTGAGATAATGGATAATCCAATTACCTTGATTTGATAATTACCCATTGTATGCAGGTATCAAACATGTACCCCCAAAATGTATACAATAGTATATATCAATAAAAAAATAAACATTTTTTAAAATTAATAAAAAGATCCTTGTCCACACACACACACAAAAAAAGAAACTATCACGGAGATTAATAACTACGAATCTTTAAAAGTCTGATATCAAGGTGAATAAAAATAACTAAAAACTTACAATGATCCTACACTGAAAAGTGCTTCTTAGCACATGGTAACAATAAGCAGCCTCTCAAAGATACTCAAGCCTCTGTAGGCTGCCAGGGTCACACCTGAGAGCCTCGATGAGCTCTGCAGAAAAGATGCACACCTTCCACTACACAGAGGTCAATTTAACAGCAACAAAGAAACCCACAGTTGTATGAAATGAAACTGAATCTGCATTTAAAAAAAAACAGAAAGAGGAAAGCAAATTAAAAATTCAGTGAAAGGGGAAACAATTATAAGTAAAAGAAATTTTAAATCAGTAAATAAGCAATCGTTCCTCTCAGATTTAAACACAGAAACTCCAAATGGATCAACAGCTACTAAAGGAACTGAAATAGCAGTTATCTTAATTTCAAAGAAAAAGTTTCAACCTAGATGGTTTTAATGGATGGGTTCTAACAGAATTTCAAAGAAGAAATAATTTTTATCTCAGTAAATTTTTTTTTCTTTTTTCTTTTTGGGATGGAGTCGTGCTCTGTCGCCCAGGCTGGAATGCAGTGGCGTGATCTCGGCTCACTGCAACCTCCACCTCCCAGGTTCTAGCGAGACTCCTGCCTCAGCCTCCCAAGTAGCTAGGACTACAGATGCACACCACTACGCCCGGCTACTTTTTGTATTTTTAGTAGAGACAGAGTTTCATCGCGTTGGCCAGTCTGGTCTTGAACTCCTGACCTCAGATGATTTATCTAAGTAAATTATTCCAGAAAATAGAAAATAATAAAAGCAATTCTAGTCATTTCCGAGGATAGCAAAACCTTGATTGGTAAAACAAAAAGTCAGTAAAAGAAAAGGAAACTTTATGTTCATTTCATTTATGACAGAGATATAAGCTTCCTATGTAAAATATTAGATCGTGAAAGCCAGACACATACACTTGACCCTTGAAAAACACACTTGAATCACACAGGTTCCCCGACTTTCCTCTGTCTCTGCCACCCCTGAGACAGGAAGACCAACCCCCTCTTCCTCCTTCCCAGTCTACTCAGCATGAAGGCAACAGAGATGAAGACCTTTATGACGATTCACTTCCACTTAAGGAATAATAAATATGTTTTCTCTTCCTTAAAAAACTGTAAAAGATGTGGAGGATGCCTTGGGCTTTTTGTGTACTTCTCAAAAGTTTTAAGATGTCCTAATTTATTGTTCAAGCAAAAGAAGAAGAAAAGAAATACAGTCACATGTTGCCTAATGATGGGGATGTGTTTTGAGAAATGCATCACTAGGCAATTTTGTCATTGTGCAAACATCAGAGAGTGAACTTACACAAACCTAGATGGCGTAGCCTGCTACGTATCTAGGCTACATGGTACAGCCTGTTGCTCCTGGGCTACAAACCTGCCCAGCGTGTGACTGTAGGCAGCTGTAACAGTGGTAGGGATTCGTGTATCTAAACATACAAAAGGTGCAGTAAGGCTGGGAGCCATGGCTCACATCTGTAATCCCAGCACTTTGGGAAGCCAAGGAGGGTGGATCATCTGAGTTCAGGAGTTCAAGACCAGCTTGACCAACATGGCAAAACCCCATCTCTATTAAAAATAGAAAAATTAGCTGGGAGTGGTGGCGAGCACCTGTAATTCTAGCTACTCAGGAGTCTGAGGCAGGAGAATCGCTTGAACCAGGGAGGCAGAGGTTGCAGTGAGCCAAGATTGTGCCATTGCATTCCAGCCTGGGAGACAGTGCAAGACTCCATCTCAAAAAGAAAAAAAAAAAAAAAGAAAAGGTACAGTAAAAATGCAGTATAAATGATTAAAACAAGCCACATACAGTGGCTCAGGCCTGTAATCCCAGCACTTTGGGAGGCTGAAGTGGGGAGGATTGCTTAAGGACAGGGGTTTGAGACCAGCCTGGGTAACACAGCAAGACCCTATCTGAGATGGTGAGTATTGAGTGTCAAGTTGATTGGATTGAAAAAGGCAAAGTCTTGTTCCTGGGTGTGTCTATGAGGGAGCTGCCAAAGGAGATTAACGTTTGAGTCAGTGGACTGGGAGAGGCAGAACCACCCTCAATCTGGGTGGGCACCATCTAATCAGCTGCCAGCTCAGCCAGAATAAAAGTAGGCAGAAGAACGTGGAACGACTAGACTGGCTTAGTCTCCGAGCCTCCGTCTTTCTCCTGTGCTGGATGCTTGCTGCCCTCAAACATACGACTCCAAGGTATTCAGCTTTGGGACTCTGGGACCTTCGCCAGAGACTGAAGTCTGCCCTGTTGGCTTCTCACTTTTGAGGTTTTGGAATTTGGACTGGCTTCCTTGCTCCTCAGCTTGCAGATGGCCTATTATGGACTTCACCTTGTGATTGTGTGAGTTAATACTCCTTAATAAACTCCCTTTATATCTTTATATAACCCTTGATAGTCAGGGTTCTCTAGAGGGACAGAACTAATAGGATATATACATCTGTAGGATAGATGTATGGGATAGGATAGATGTATATATCCTAGTAGTTTTGTCCCTCTAGAAAACCCTGACTAATATACCATCTGTACAAAAAATAATACAAAAAAAATTAGCTGCTGTGGTGGCAGGCAGGTGCCTGTGATCCCAGCTACTTGGGAGGCTGAGGTGGAAGAATCGCCTGAACCTGGGACGTGGAGGCTGCAGTGAGTTGTGACTACACCACTGCACTCAGCCTGGGCAACAGAGTGAGACC